ACAACAAAAGCCGTGATAGAATCTCTTATTTCCCAGGATTTCCTAGTATATTTTGTTTTACCTCTTCGTTGTATGTCTGATCACATATTGTTTTTTCCATCATAATTGCATTTTTTACGATTGTATGAAAGAGTTATGATATCATTAAAAAAATGCAACAAATTAATAGCTTCTTCTGTGTAGTGGCGTATCCAGAGGGGGCTAGAGGAGGCTCGGCCCCCTCTACGAAGGTTTGAGCCCCTTCTAGAAAGATTTTTGCTCCCTGTGAGTGAAGAAAAATACCTATGACTTATGTATTAATAAGAGTATACATACAGTTTATTCACAATAGCAAGCATGTATAACAGAGAGAATTCAGATCTTAAAGAGAAATTTCTTAGAAAACAGTGTAGTGTGCAGTTTCCGTGCATTTGAAAATTTTTGCTTCGCGAATCGGGTTGTTTCTGTAATGTTTCGATTTGATAATTTTTCTCTTCATTTTAGCTTCGAATATGAAATAGAATTTCATTAATTATTGAGTGACTCAGCAATAAAAAGATAATAAATGATATCATTTTGTGACTATTACTTTAAAATCATGAGTTCCCATTTGAATAAATTGTACAATTGTGAGCTAAATCTTTTTTATTCAGTTTCAAGAAGCTGCCGCCTTCGGTAGCATGTTCTTCTGCGATTATTTCTCTTACTAAAATGTAAATTTTAGTAAGAGAAAAAAGTTTTTGCTGCGCGGTGTTTTTCAAAGAGTCATATAAAAGAAGAGCAGCGGCAAACAACTTTACAATTACAACGATGGTTGAAAATTTTTTACTCTTTCTTGTGGCTAGAACTTAGGTACATTCGTGGGGCCGAGCTCCCTCTAGCCTTATTTTCTGGCTGCGCCACTACTTTTGTGGAAAATATTTTTGATGATTTATAATCGGATTATTTTGTGCAAGAACTTTTATACTATCTTTATCAAAGTAAGTTAAGTAAATAACTCAACACAGAATTAGACATTAATATAAAGGTATAGAATTTATTTATTTTAATATCAATCAGCATCATTAGTTGGACTGGTTTGGCCTGTAGACCAAGCCAGAAAAAGCGGCCTGTTGGTAGCTCTGATTTTTACTGTATTTTTGTACCTTCATTGTACTCTTATAGTAGAGAGCATCGAGTTCGGGTTTGAAAACTTTCTGCTGACCGGATTCAAATTCAAAAATTCTTGGACTCGATAGGTCTAGTTTAGATTCACAAAAGATTAATCAAGTTCGAGACTGAAAATTTTGATGGACCAAGTTCGGATTCAAAACAATTTATCGATCGGATCTGGATCTAGAAATTCTTGACCCTGATGGCTCTATCTCATACCCTCATTGCACTCTCTGTGCTTCAGAAGTACGGAAGTACGTCGTTTCTCCCTCGCCTTCCTCTCATTCGAACGTTTATCTGATAAAAGTTTTATCAACAATGAGAAAAGTATTATTCGGGTTAAAATGGTTTTATTTCTCTTTTGATTATATAGACAACATAAATCAAGCTCAAGATGCTTTTCAACAATGTCGTTCCTTATTGGAAGATCAATTGGATTATTCGGATAAACTACATTGTGAAACAGCTATTAACGAAATTGAAAAACATTTGGATAAACTTGATCAAATCGAAGATGAATTCAAATTAGTACAAAATCTAGCAGAAGGATTGACATTTACTTTCAATAAAGGACCTTTGATACAAGCAATGGAACAGGGTGATTGGATTCTGTTGGATAATATCAATTGTGCACGTGGAGATGTGATTGAACGTCTAAATTCCTTAGCTGAAGCTAAACCAACCTTAACATTATACGACTCGGCATCATCACAACAGTATAGTCGTGGTAATGGTATTCATAAAGATTTTCGATTGTTTGTTATCGCCAATAACAATCGAAAAATGGCCAATAGATTATCAAGTGCTTGGCGAAATCGATGTTTGATCATTCGAATGCAAACATTAGACGATGGATTAAATCTTGATCATGTTGAACAGCATGATCTAGCTGAAATTATCAAAGGTGAACTACAAGGAATCAATGGTGGCCAAGAATTAACACACACTTTGTTACG